CATAAACTCAACTGCTTGCATGGACAGCGACTTTTATACGAGCATACACATGACGCTGAACAAGGACAGCGTGCCCACATCCTGAGTCGCGGCTGGGGACACCACGACCTCGAAACGCCTTACGATAACATGCAGTCGAAGGAGGCCTTTACTATCCAGACCAGTTTCCACGGAGGAGACTTTGTATCGAAAAGGTCGTCAGGAATCTTTTCATGAGGGACGACGCCGACCAGATTAGGAGACGCCGATTCCGCCAATATGCTTCAGCGGGCTGGAGCCCGCTCAGAGACCTCGGAATATCTTGAGGAATTCCAGGAGATGCCGGTCGATCCGCTGTGACGTGATGCGTTGCGAAAAAAACTCTGTGCCCTCCAACAAAGAGTCCGAACCCGATCGGAAGGGAGGGGGGCTTCCGAGTTGAACGGAACGAGCGTCAGTATCCTGTAACCATGCGGAGGTTGTCGGAGAACGAACACGGCTCGAAGCGGAAACAGCACCGGAAATCACTGATCGGTCGTTGATCTCTATATACACGAATTCTCCCACATTTATGACTTCACGTGAGACGAAAAGATTTCCTCAAATTCAGACCGAGTTGCAGTCTTGCATCATTGTCTCCAGTCGAGACGGAAGCCCCGTCGCGGACGTAGCGAGACCAGTCGACATCCGACTGGCCGGAGTCGGTACGGCGTTGCACGAAGTCAGGGACGTCGAACGGCGAAACTCCGGAGCGTCCGAATATCTATGAGAGTCGTTTTCGGATGCTCAATGTGAACACGCGGACTCGGAGTGAAACCTCCCGCAGGCCGACCGGTCGATGCTTTGAGATGCTGAGCGCAAGCATCCGCTCGGGCTCGCCTCAGCGACGTGTATCCACGCCCTGCTCACAAAGCAGAACCCACTTACCAGCTCCTTCGATTGTCCACTCGCTCGATCACTCGCTCGCTTTGAATAACGACAGCCATGAGTCATTTGAAGTCAAGCCGAAAAACTCCGTTCGCTGGTTAGTCAGGTGCCAAAAGCACGATCTAGCACGTGATCTCGGGGAGACGCGCGCTAACGAAACGCCCTGACCGAGCGAGCGAGCGACTAATAAACTCCGTGCCGGTCCGAATCATGTCTTACTGGAGAAAATGATATCAGGCTGGGGATTTTCCGTGAATGAAATTTCCGGGAGAGGCGAACGTAGTTTTCCTAGTTTCGCAGAATCCTTCATTCCCGACCGGATAGAGAATGGCGGCGTCGGCGGGAAAATGAACAGGGGAATTCTACAGTCCGTCAACTGGGACCGCACCGCGTAGAAACACCGAACGAACGGAGTGAAGTCTTTTCGGAGCGAATGTGTTTGTTGTGCAGACGGGACTCGTTGAAACGGTTCCACCTCCTCCCTCCCTCAGAGTGACATCGTCGGTGAAGCCATCCAGCTAGTCTACTGGTAGATTTCGAGACGACATCTGCCAGGCCTCAGAGTTCTTCATCCGTTACACCATGTGGTCTGTTCTAGTCGCGTGTGCTCTGAGCGACTGACCTGGCAGGCCGAGCCGCATCTGAAATGAGAATGAGGTTTGCCGGAGCTTCGACTCCGGTGTGAGTATTTTCTCGAGCTCAACAAAACAATTATGGGGTCAAGTGACTCGTCTGAAAGAATCCGCTCCCAACGACGGCTGTTATTCTGCTCAGATTCGACTATCAGTCACGCTATGATTCGGCTCCGGAATCGATCAGCGGAATGATCAAGCCGGTCATTTCCACATCTGAAGACTTATTTAATAGTATGCCGCGGAAATCAAAACATGCAGAAATCGGGCGACGCGATCCTCAACAATCCCCGCCGATTGCTTCCATCCGCAACGTCACGTGCACGTACGCGTGCGAAGCCGCCATTCCTCACGGAAGTCTCTCGAGTTCTTCTATTGACGTCGTTCGGATATTTACGTTTTTAGCGTTCGAAACTTAATCAGGACGAATGATCGAAGGCTCCAAATCATGTTTGCCGTAGTGATTTACCATGAGCACATCTCCATGTCAGGCTAGAACGAGGCGCGGGGCCTCGGCCCTGAAAAGCTGTTCGACGCCGTCTTTCATAGTGTTATGTTTGCATCTGGTAGTGGTGGTGGCGACGCAGACCGCCGACCAACTTACTCGTAAGTGGCAAGCTATCCCTCCAATCTAGAATCAGCTCGCCGATCCGGGGAGGCATTCGGGAGCCCGCATGCCCGTCTATCTTAAATTCAAGCGACTTCCCGCTTTTCGAGGGCGCGATCGACCGACGGAATGATTACCCGAACTCCGCTCCCATTGGAATTTCGCCCCGTTGGGTCGATCCCCCCCGATGAATATCCCGCCACGTTGAAGAAATTTCTTATGATTCGGAGAGTGGGCGATGAAGGTCCGGACTGTTTCCTCCTCATTTTGAGTTCGGCCGATCTTTCCTGAGACTTTTCCTCCAACCGGAACTGTACGCTCGAGCCGGATGATCCATCGCGATCATCAGATTCCATGAATCATGTTTAGAGAAGATTACCCATTCTCATCCACTCTTCCCGTCGAACGTATCGACCCACCACCGCCTCTCTGGGTCTACGGTAAATGTATCTATCGCCTGCTTGATGCCTGTTCGGAATCGAAACGCTCATTCTCGCGTACATTGCCGTGTACGTCCCCGTTGAGGCGTGCGATTTCTGTTCGAGGGCAACAAGTCCAACCGACCAAGCCGGGCTAGGGCTGTGCTCCATGTTCGGAGCGAGCGCTAGTGATCCGTGTGCACAGCTGGCCTCGCTCCGCGCCGAGCGCAGACCAGAAGAATTCAGCGTAGCATGGCGATTCGACACGAAACTGTTCATGCACAGAATGACTTTTCTAACGGTGCTCTCCTCGTTGAGGATGGGGTTCCCGTTTTGAGCGTTTTTTTCCCTCGACGTTTTTTTCTGCGGTCGGAGCTCTTCCGGTCGGAGCTCTTTCACCGTGGAGCTTTTCCGGTTCGACCTTTCGATTGTACGCGCAGTTGACTTTCAGCGCATCCTGGTCCATCGAACAAAAGCTGTCGCGGTGGAGCCGGCCTCACGAGGAGACTCGTTGGAGGCGGGCTTCGGTTGAAATTAGCCGAAGTCCGGGAGCATGCAGTCCTGGGAGTCCACTCGCCTTGAGTGGTGGTGGTCCTTCTCCTCGAGACCGAGCCTTTGACGTTGCGGGGTAGTAAGTTATAGCTTCGTTAAATGACAGGAAGTAGACCCTCCTGGCTCCGGTCGGGGGATGACCACATTGATGGGATACCAAGCATCTCGAGAGTTCTTTCCCCCATCTGAGGGAGTGAGAAATCGAGTTAGATAGCAACGAGATTAGGTCTGGGTGGCAACAGTCGACCCCTGACCCCCGTCTCGCTTGTCTCATCTAGCCCATGGGGTATCGCCCAGATGAAGCGATTCTTTGAGGAATTAGTTGTCAGCGACCTGCGAAGTTGCCAGTATCTCATTCCCGGAAAGCGAAGCGGATTTCTTGCGGTTTCTCCGAGGGTTAGATCCCGATCAGAACCGCGGACCCGTGTATGGTCAGCCTCGGCCTGGTGAACCGAAAAGACACGAGCGACCGATCGATTCGCTCAGTGGAGATTTAATGAGATACTGGAGCCCGGGCTGAGCGTCTTGGAGTTCAATATCCTCCTTAGGAGGAGGGGGCGTGCGTGGGCGTCCAGGGGACGCGGAAGGGAACGATGTCATCTCCTAATATCGCCGGCATTACCCAAATTAGGTGGTGGTTGTCTCGTGCGGCAGCTGCCCCGTTCTGCTCCCGTCTTCCCGAAGCCGCTATTGATCTACTGCCTCGTCATCCCTGTGTACATGTACCGCAACCCCCTGAGTCTGTTTGCTGGGACAACACCCAAAACGATCGGACACCCGTTCGATACTCTCGTGATCGAAGTCTGAACGCTTCCGTGACCTGAGACACCGGATGCGCTTCTCAGGAGCGGCTTTGCGATAATTGGGGCCGTCGGAACCCAATTCCGAAATTAAGTCCTCTATGCTCTTCTCGAATATCGGGGAAGTCACTCAGATAAGATGCATCGTGCGACAATCGTTAAACGAGCTCTACGAAAGGAAGTATCGACATGGATAGGCTCAGGGCTCTTGACGCTGCTCCTGATTCCGTGGACGTTGTATGGTAAACCTCTCGTGAGTTTCTTGACGATTTGCGTACCGACCCGAGTTCACGCCTTTTTTGTCTAAGGACCTGAGGAGGTGATCAGGTCGACGGTACCGTAATGGAAGCGAATCTAAGCCGAAAGCACATAGGAGAGAATATGAGTGAACGCAAAAACGGTTCTAGCTGGTCACGCGAGCGATAGAGTTAGCAGCGCTGTCGCGATGACGTGAGATACGTAGAAATGAATTCCAGTCTAGATGTGCGTATGATGAAGACAAGCACATAAAACCTTGCCATCTCGATTCAAGGGGAGTGTTACTAGCTTTCGACCCTTGCGGATATATTTATTCAGGTTTCGACGCCGACCGCTCCAGTTCCGATATTTGCTCTCTCGTAGTCCACCGTTTCGAAGAAAATACCGCTAATCTGAACGCTCCTAAGATGGTGCTCACCCTCAACGCTCTCTGTTGACAAGTCGTCAACAGGGCTCGTTTGTTCGGCATCGTGGCAACCTACTGTCCGATATCTGGTTTAATACTCCCTTTCGGTCTCGTTGAGGGGCACGAAGCTTTGCCGGCGAGCCGACAAGCACCTTGAAGGCGTGGTTCACGCTTGGAGCTGTAAGCGCAGGCGAAACTCGACTATTACTCATCGGCCTAAAGACATGTTTAGTCGTGATAACAGACTGACATTGACCCTCCTCTCGGTCTCTGATGTTATCGGTCTCTAACTTCCTTTGAAGTCTACCTCCTGACTTTCTTAGAGCTCTTCCCACGTCGCTCTTCCTCTCTTCGCTGCAAACCATCCAGCTCTGAAATAATTAATCGTTTTCATCCCTGCGGCGCGGAGGATCGCAACAAATGATTGGGATGTTCCAGAGAGCTCTCCGCGATATCGGTCAGAGAATCCAGACTCTGTATCATGTCATTATCGGTCTATTCCGGAATGGCATCTTGACCGCGGGGAAATTCGGGGGATATTATCATTCAAAAATATTTCTTCAACTTTTGTCAATCGGATCATTTCTGTGTGAGCGGGAATCCACACATTCCGGTTTTTCGTGGCGATAACCCAGGCCCCTCCCTGTACATCCGATAGCAGGGACAATCAAGCCGCGGAAAGACTATTAATGATTTATTTCTCTCTTACAGTAAGCCAACAATTACCATCGGTGGAGACGCGGGCGATTGACTCAATAGCAGTTTTAAATTATTTCTTATACACATCACAGAACAGCACAACAGGTGAGATTTCGCTCATCCCGATTCAATGTAGTTTGTTAGTTCGCTCTCTTGTGGGTAATTCTGCCTTTCGAAGCGATTTTCAGTTGTGCCTTCCTTTCAGAACGTCCAATGCGGATCGTAGATCGTACTTTAGAATCCACAATCAGAGTTCTTAATCAGAACGAATTCGCCATAATGACGAATCTGCGTCAGGATCACGGATCGGCAGGCACATTACTTTACCTTGAAGACATAAGAACGAAGACGAGGTCAGTAGACGTCCAGTTTAAGAGCGATCATATGGAAACGCTCCGTTCTCAACACCAAATCATTGCTGGACTTCAGGGGGACCATGGATCATTTCAGGTTGTTAGAAATTCAGAGCAGTTCGCGTCGGGCAGAAGTGCGGGTTTTTTTCGCCGACAGGGATGGTGGTGTCCGGAGTGCATTATTCCAGAACGTCCAGCTGGGAGACCAGCGGTGGCATCAGGTAAATGAGCGAGCGGCCTGAACTCGTTTCCGCTTTGTCCGTGCCCCGAGTCGGTCGCCCAATAGTAGAAGATCTTCGTTTGCAGGTGGCACTCAGGTTTTCAGGCGACGAGGTATCGCTCTTCGTGGACTGCGTCCGTGTCGGAGCGCGCCTAATACCCGAGCGGCACCAAGCCAATATAACAAAAGATACGCGTCTTCTGTTGTTTGGAAGACTGGATTCGTATATTCTCTCCGTAAGTAACGACTTCTGCGAATACCATTTACATTCCTACATTCATATGTATATCTCTCGAGGACTTTCGAGCATAAAAAGAAATCGATCTCGATCCAGGGGGACGTGGAGTATCTGAAAGTTGCCGCAGGTTCTCAGGCCGTTGCTCAGTTGCAGTGTCCGCAAATGGACACTGAATGCCCAACCTGTGGAGAGTTCCAGGTACTTCAAAAACAACAGAATGACATCGTTGCACAGCTAGTCGGCGAAAAGAAGCAATTACAGAAGCAAGTCGACCATTTGCTCAAAATGGTATTTGAACTTAAGGACAGCGTCGAAGAACTCGAGCGCACCGCCTTACCGCACTGCTGGCCTGATGGGAAACGCATCAGCGACGGTACCGTTTGGCGGGAGGGCTGTAAGCAATGCGTTTGCAAGGTGGGTGGGAGCATCGATCGCGAGGGAAATCGGCGGAGAGGGATCTAATCAATTCGCGACTGCATGTCCCAAGTCCGTCGTCGACGGGAAGCGGCATCAATCTTGACTTCGCGTGATTTCCAGAACAAAAAATTACCTGCTCCCGCATCGTATGTCCCGCAATCCAGAATTGCGTAGATCCGAACATCGACCCTTGCTGTAAGAGTCCTTGTGGACGGAATTGTTCTCACAGTGGGTCGGACATCGCGCACGGGACCTCTCTGAACAAACGCAACGATCGAGGCTGTACCGTCATAAGCTGTAATGTAAGTCTGTGCAGAACCCCGAGCTCAATATTCTGCTCGTTGACGACCGACGGAGCACGTTCGGTTGAGTAGAGACGAGTTTCGAGTCTCGGACACTGCTTTCCAGGCGGGAGTCCTGAGTTTCCGCAACGAGACCTGCCAGGAGCTGTCGTGTCCCGAGTCTGAACGGATAGTCGAGGAGGGAGAATGCTGTCCCAAATGTCGCCTTGCCGATCACTGCGGATCCTTCAAAGGCCAGTGCGCTGAGAACGCAGTTTGCGTCGGGCACGGCTTCAGCGCCAAGTGCGTCTGCATCGAGGGCTTCGAGGGTGATGGTCGAGTGACGTGTCAAGGTTCGTAGTGCCAAGTCCGGAAGTTCGCGTCGACGCAACCGGAACAAGAGATACATTATCGAGCGCGTAGCGGGGCAACTCTGTGCGGAGCATACATGCGTCCGCTGATGCTTACGCCTTGAAAAATTGCAGACATCGACGAATGCCTCTCCGAAGCTCAGCATCACTGCCCGGAACATAGCGTCTGCGTCAATGCGGCCGGAAATTACAGGTATGTATGAGGCTTCGTGGGGCAATCGATAATGACGACGAATAGGTCTTGCCCAATGAGCTTCATTTGGGGAGATTCGTGTCAAGGGCAACCGTGGAACACGAGCCTGTCACGAGGCTTGCCACCGACCGGGATACGAGTTCGGGATTCATATGGTTCGATACCTGAACCTTAGTCTCCGCGTGAGAAATAGTCGGAGACGTCGCGTAAACCGTCGTTTTTCATTATCGTATTTCTCCTTCTGTGTAGTTGTCATTGTCAAGACGGTTTCAAAATGGACTCGAATGATTTCTGCGTCGACATCGATGAATGTTCAGAGAATGACTTCTGCGATGGCGGAGCCACCTGCGTTAACACCTTGGGGGGATATCAGTGTACGTGTCCTGAGGGCTATCGTAGTGAAGGACGTTCGTGCAAACGTGAGTACTCGAGACAACTCGAGAACTGAAACGAAGAATTTCTCGTCATGAAATATTCCTGCTGAACTCGGAGATCTTCCTCAGAGACGTTTATTGGTCCCACGGAAAAAACTGATAGTTCACTTGATCCGACTCAGAGATTTTTTTTCTGTCAATTCAGCTGTGTGCAGCTCACCCTGCAAGCATGGCGGGTTGTGCGTTGCTCCTGAACGGTGTGAGTGTCGCCTCGGCTACCGAGGTGCATTTTGTGAGCATGACGTCAACGAGTGTCAGGAGAACTTGCATCGGTGCGGATCTCATGCAACATGCATCAATTTACCCGGATGGTACACCTGCCAGTGCAACAGCGGATATGACGCAGTCATGATTAACGGCACAACTAAATGCATAGGTGAGCGAAGCTACGGCCTCCCCGACATACCGATACGCCTGGGGAGCGGTCTGTGAGAGATTTCTTCGGTCATAAATTGCTCAGCTCCAATAATTGAATCCTAAGTCCCCTCGATTGCCTGATCCCGATGAGCTAAACCACAAATTCCATCCCTCCTTCACAGACGTGGACGAATGCGCCACCGGGCAGCATGTCTGCTCTAGCGAGAGTGTTTGCATCAATCGCGAGGGCTCTTACCACTGCCATTGCCCGGACGACGCAGAAAATTGCCCGACGTCTTGCCAAGTTACCGATCGTGGCTTAGTGAAAACTATCCAGTCTGGTGGGAAGTGGCTCGACGAAGCCACTTGCGAGAGGTGTGCTTGTGATAGTGGAGCACGCTTGTGCAAACCCGTTGAGTGCAATTGCGATCAGAACCCGAGTCGACGATGCTGCCCGCATTGTTTCCAAAACGATGAATTCCAATGCAAAATTTCCGGTGATAACGGAACACGGCTCCTCGTGGCCAACGGTCAACGATACACGCACGGTTGCCAGATCTGCGAGTGTATGGTGAGTGGGGAATGAGGAGCAAACGATATCGGGTCCCCCCCTCGGCCAGAGTCTCGTTGGGCTGAAGCTTTCATTCCCGCTGTTTGGATGCTAATCTGAATCGGATTGCAGTTCGGCTCCTTGGACTGCTGGACCACGACCTGTCCGCGCCTCGCGTGCTCGGAGCCCCAGTTCCCCGCGGATCTCTGCTGTCCCATCTGCCTTGATGAAGATCTCTGTGCTCCAGCTGCGTCCCGAGGACGCGGATGCCATCATCCGGGTTCCCTGTTCAGCGGAGACGTCCAACAGACTCCCCTCGGCAGGGTGACGACCTGTCAGGGGTGTCCATCGGTAGGTTCCGGACGCTGCGTCCTGCTGTAATCCGTACGAATAATTAATTTTCCGCTCCGGAAATCAGAAGAATATCTCGATGCAGAAGAATATCCCCAGTTTGTGAATGAGTGTCCGATTTTTTGTCTGTGTTCTGTGTTTGAATTGAAGTAGGTACATGTTTTCCGAATTCTCCTCTCTAAAAGTCGGAAGTTAGTATTGTACGAACTAACTGAGTGTGATATGTTCGAATGACTAAGAACTAACGTTGTGTGTGGTACTCTGTGCAGGACGATAATGACCTCATGCTGTCCTATTCGATCTCGACGCCCTCGTCTTTTTCTGACAAACGTTATACCCGACGCAGTCTTGACGATCCGGATCAGCTGTTCAAGGGGTATGGTCGCCGACTCCGCTGAGCTTCCTAATAACTATTTACATGTTCGTTTGTTGCTCATGCTCGTTTCCACTAGATCGACTTGAGTGACTACTATGACCTGCATTTATGTGTTTCTGGTCTTCTTGATGACACCATTGACATGTCGAAGTTTTCATCGGCAAATTTCGAAAAATAAACACTGAGGTCGACTCCTGCTAGTCCATCGGGGCTCTAACGAATGCAATCGCTATTGCAGAGCGGAGAAGTACTACATCGGGTGCATAATCCTGCTCGTGGCCGCGCTCGCAATTCAGCAGATTCTCCACCGGAGACATCTTTCAAAAACGGCCACTACGGCATCCCAAGTGGAGGCTGGTCTTCAACGACGGCGCCCGAACCCCCAAGATAACGCACACCCCTTGAGATGAAGGGAACAATAATTTAAACTTGGACAAGAGGGGATTCGTCGCTGAACAACGAGTCCGCGCATCAATACGCATCGCCTGACTCATCGAAGTAATCTGAACAGTGAATGAAGAATCCAGCGTTTCACACCTTCGATCGGACTATTGGTCAATTTCGAGAGATTCCGTGCTTAGCTGGCCGTTCAATCAATCGATTCAGAAATGAATTGGAGTCGAAACACTAATAACAACATATGTAACATAGGCAGGGGCGGATTTGATGATCGCGAACGTTTCTTATCTATTTCGCGAATGCACGTGTAATTTCAATATAGAATCACACCCGGGAGCACATCTATGTAAAAAGTTAGCAACACTCCCAATCTTCACGGAACCTTCCTGTTTCCGAGCGGACAGCGATGAAAAGCAATTCGAACCAATGTCGTGAGCGTCAGAAATCAGAGTCAATGTCCTGGATGAGGGGCTTCCTCAAGCCCTTTGGGAATCAATCGAAATATCGGAGAGTCGCCGCCGGCGCTCTCGTTCCACCGCGCCGGAGTTCCTCCAGTTTCCGATGCGTGGGTCTTCATGATCCTTTCACCAGACTTGACGTTCGAAATCCATTAGGATAACTCTGACTCATGGAGCTTTTAAACTTTTCTGATCCTGTTTGAATTTCCCGTAGCTGCTCCTTAATCTGCCATGCTTCCGTGAAGCTAATAAATTATATTATTTAAGTACTCGAACCACTCGACATAGATCGGGGGATATGTACAGTTGGGAGGAGGGAATAAGGAGTTTGAAGCACGCATTTTCTAACTCATGCATTATGAGCCGCGCAGACACGAGATGCTGCACACTGAGTACGCTACAGTTCACCATAATGGGGGGTATGGTATGGGAATTCCCCTTTTCCCGATCCACTGTCGCAATCTCGACCGAAAGGTAGCAGGTCCAGTCCAGTGTGTACGAGAGTCCGATCGAGAGTGGAGATTGTTCCACCCGACCTTATGAATTCCTGCGGCTCACGGTGTCTTTGGATACGGAGTCATGCGACGGGAACCGCATCCCAGTGACCACGACACGGAGTCCGCGTGCTTGTGCTGGCTCTGGATCCGACCCCCTTCAACTTCCGTCCCTGTCCCCGCCCTTCCATGATCGGCGTGAATCATTCCGTAGACCGCATTCCCTCCTGACGGAAAACTTCGCCGCAGGAACTGGAGCTCAGAGACTGCAGCGATTTTTTAGCAGTCATAACTCGATCGAAATCATTCGTCCGGCATCGTGTTTATTATTTATAATGCAGCTTTATTTTTTTTCAACTCCATTATTCTAGTATGATCTACCTACTTCCATCTGCGAATGTAGTTCTTCTTTTTTTTCACAATACAGAGCCGTATATATATAATTCTCAGTCGATCGGTGAGTTTTGTAAAATCTGTTCAAGATCGCCGTCACTCAAAGCTTTGAATGATACCTGAGAGTTGGAAAATTTTCTCGATCCGCAGAATTCTATTCTTCACAATCCGTCGTCGCAATAAACTACAAGGGCGAAGCGATTCTAGCGCACAGCAGCGCACAGAGTGGCTTTGGGATTTCCGTGCGACGATTCCGAAAACCAAATTGGGGGTGTTTGTTTGCTCAAGAACCGATCGCTTCGTCACCCTCATTCTTTGTTGTTATCATTGATGTTCTTGTTGTTGATGTTGTTCTGGTGTTGTTGTCGTCGTCGTCATTATAACTTAGGGCTTCTCAATTGCTCAAATTCTAACAGAGAAATGAAACTTAAATCCTCAAAACAACCGACTTTCAGCAATTTCAGCAGAGATGATCGAGATGCGAATTCTAATTTCGGGGACATTTGGAAGACCGCCGATGTTGCATGAGGTCTTTCCAGCTCAATCGACGGAACTCCTCAGCTCCACATTGGCGCAAGGGTGGAGCTCGAGCTCTCGACTGAGACTGAGTGAGTCGTTCTCGATGGAATCTACGACGAGTTTTGTCGATGCATTTCCTACAGAGTGCTGACAGATCTAGAGTCACAGCCTCTCATCCTGTACGGGGATCTTGTCTCGAAGCCGTGTAGCCGCCGCAAACAATCATTGGGGGAAAACTTTCCTTCTCGTCCTGCGAGGATTGAATTCCGAAGGAAACTGATCCCCGACGTCGATCCGGAGGCCTCGCTCTCGCGGTGTATGGGAACGATTTCTCGGCTGAGCGCCGATAGGATCATTGTGGAGAAATGCTCGTTTCCCTCGTGACTCCACGTGCATGTGGGAGCTCTTGATGCTTCTTCGTCTCTTCGATCGTCAGGAGTCCTCGATTCGTAGTCAGTGTCCCCTATATTGTGCGGACTGGCATCTCTCGGCATCAACTCCATCGGACCGCCACGGGAGAAACGCATTCGGAATAAAGGTAATCGCGAAGGCCGCGATAATAATAATGATGATAATAATGTAAAAAATATTAATCGTTCCATGCGTAGTAGTGGTCGCTGTCAACTCGGTCCTCCGAAAAATTCGGTGAAAATGTGGTTGGTTTCGATCATATACAACGTAAAAATGACGATTCGTTCCTGCTGGAAGCTGCTAAGGGAAGCTTGCGACGCGCGTTTGCGAATTCAGGCCGAAGCGTTCATCGAGACGATTCGTATCGCTTGACATGTTCGATTGTTGCTGGAGGATTTGAACTCTTTTTCTGTCTGACCAAAGTCTAGAAGTATTCACAATGGTTGAACGAATATCTAATGGACCGCGTCGCTTGCATCGGTGTTTTGTTCTGTGGGTCCCTCTCGCGAAAACGAGCACTCGCGGAGGACGAGGAGGACGAGGAATGGTTGGCTGGCAGGTGAGTGGAGCGGGAAAAATATCGGTTGGATTAAACTCGCTAGACGAAGGAGGGGATGGGGGATGATGATAAATCGGGGACGCTGTTTCCCACAGAACACGTTGTTGGGGCGAAGACGTTACGATGCTTATGCCTTCGTAAGAGCGACGGCCATGATGACAAGAACGAGGGAGCCAACGAGTTGGCTAGCAGAAGAGGCGTTCGTCTGGGCGCGCGTGTGGAACGAGAAGATTCCTTGTGCGGAACTCTCCTCCTTATCGGTGACGGCGATCACGGTTCCTTCGTAGTCGACGTCGGGGATGAGTCCAGTCAGGGTCTGGGTGACGGTGTAGTTTCCATCCTTGTCGCCGATCTCGTTCTCCGACAGAGGGAATTCGATGGTCTTCGTTCCTCTGACATTGTTTCGGAGCACAAGCACAAACTTGCGCACGCGGTAAGGCGACACAGTTGTCAGCGTGATCTTCGAACTTACATCTGTTGGCTCCAGGGTGACGATCGGTCGAATCGGCAGGGATGAAATCTCAACGTCCTCGGTGCCTTTGCCGTAAGTGTTGGAGGCGACGCAGAAGTAGGTGTCGAAAAGATCTTTGGTGATCTGGCTGATCTTGAGTGTTGAAGAGTCGGCCTTCGTCGTGATTGTGAAATGTCTGTTGTCCTTGAGATCCTCGACTTTTGCGTTGCGCCACTGGAACTTCACAGGCGACTCGGAGTGAGCCTTGCAGGTGAGCTCGACGGATTTCTCGGTCTCCGAGTTGAGGTTGTGCCATTGGATAGCCACGTTGACGTCGGGACGTCCTTCGTACTTTACGACGATGTCCTGCACTGCGTCGGGCTTGTATCCGTTCTGGGCTGTGCATCTGTAGGTGCCGGCGTGTTTGCGGGCAGCGTCGTTGATGCGGATCGAGTTGTTTTTAAGGTAGGGAATGATATCTTGATCGGTGCCATTAACTTTGGTGTATTCGATTTTTGGTGCGGGGGCCGACGAGGACGTGCAAGCGAAGCTGATGGATCCCCCCTCTCGTACATCGATGACCTTGTTGTCAACGTCAATAGTAGGTGGGCCTGAGAAACGAACATAATGGATGAATATCGATGGTGATGATTCTGTGATAATGGGAGGACAGCAGAAATGGAGTCTTCGAGACGGACAGTATTTTGTGACCATTCTATGTGATTCCCACTGTTGAGGTTGAGATTTATCGTATCAGACGACTCGGGTAACGAGGAACTCACCGAGGAGGAGAATTCTGTGGGTCACATTTGACCACAGGTTATCGTTGAACTTGCAGGTGTACTTATCAGCCAGTTCGGGTCTCGAGACGATGACCACGAGGTTCATGCCATCGAGCTCGAAGTCCCCTTTTCGATGGATGATTTTCTCATCAACCGAGATCACGTTCTGATCGTGGAACCAGAGACGATAGGTGTTATCAGCTGCAAGGGTAATATATTCTTAAGTCCTCATAGTTCGGGAGCCATTTTTCCTCGTCGACGAAATCAGGGGAGATGTCGGATGATAGTCTGTGGGAAGTCCTCAGTGAAGGATAACTTACGTCTTCCTTTGTATTCGCATGGAAGAGTGACTCTGTCGCCTAGCTTTGCCTCTATTGTCAAGGGTTTGCTGGTGATATGGAAATCTGCAACCGAGAAAAATCCAGATTAAAACTCAGAGGCCGAGAACGTCGCATCCCATCATTTATTCCCTCACGAACTCGTCTCAAGCTCGGAGTTGTCCTAGACCTAGAATATTCTGCGACGAATGGACCCACTCATATTCCGTGATGTCTCGTCACGTACTGCGACCCCTCAAGAGGGTGATGTCATCCTAGGTCTGCCTCTCTCAACGCATTCATGTCCGACCGGATTTTCGTTTCGGCGCCCAACTCAAGCCGAAGAATCACTGATAGAAAAAGAGTGAACACATTCCGGCTATCATTAATCGTCTCCGGAAGAATGGTTCCACTAACACTCGCACATGGCAGCATCGAATATTGAACTACGTTCCTCTTCCTTCCCTCTTCCACGGAAAGATGCGCCCCGGTGGAAAAATGTCGTTCGCCTGGCAGAGGCACGCTAGCGGAAAACAATTTACGTGATTTGTATCTTGACGGTGACTTTCGAAGTCGCTGCTTGCCTCAGCATCAAACGAATGCGTCGTATACAACGGTAATTAGTAATTATTGCCCGGTGGGGCATCACGATAGGCTCATCTTGCATCCGCAGTGTGTCTACTCCCCGTAAAGAGCGCAGACTTGAGCTCTATGGAATTGAAAACCCGCTCCGAGACCTACGGGATTCGATCCCTTTCCGACTTCTCTCTCCGTCTCAATTTCGATTGCTCTCCAATCTCAGATCCCCGGACACTCTGCGGGCTCTCAGAGATTGGTGATTCTGACCGGTATAGGATGGCAGTCGATCATGTGTTTATCGAGAGAGTCTCCGAAACTCAGCCTCTCGAATTTCGCGGAGCGGTCCTCGACTCAAAAACCGCTCAGCGCTATCCGTAACATAAACAGCTACGAATAACATTCGTAGTCCTGCATGGATGGCTCTCGCCTCGTTCTCGAATGAGTACCATTACAACTTTCCACATCTCCCGGGACATATGGCAAGGCGAGAAAACGAACAAATTGCTTTCTCAAAAACTGCAGTCCCGTGTTCGGAGAAGTATACGAGAAGCAGTTTGAGAAGAAGTTGAAGAGCATCCTGGCGGAAATATGGATCGGCCGTTGCCGAAGAATCGACTCGTCCCTAAGCGACCGATCTTGGTCGTGATTCGTGATCGTCAAATTAGGGAATATTCGATAAGAATCTGATGGTTCTCCTGACAGCTTCCCATCCGATCAGGATGTCGCTAAGGCATCGGAGATAAAGTGATGGCAACGGATGTAATCACGCCACGATAAATGACCAGAACCGAGGAATGAATGCAGGCAGCCGCTCACCTCCGTTTCTGCTGGCGAAAGTGTTATGATATCTTTGGTTCCGAGCAGACCACTATCCACGACGCTCGAGCGCGCCCAGGGTCGTGAGTCGCGAGTCGCGACACGTGATGGGCAAAACAATGCTCAACGATTGGGACTGTCAAACGCCTGTCTTATTGAGATCTTTTCGCATTCATCAAAGCATCCGAAATAAAACTTCGCTGCTTGGGCAGCGGCTTAGGACTTGTTCAAGACGATTTCACCGGGATCGTCGTCGATATATTTTTTGACCATCGAACTTAGCATGATATCGACATTCGCTAATTCCTCCAGAACCATTCCGAACCAAGGAAGCTCAATTGCTTCCGCTCCCCTTGCGAGAGGAAGATGAATGACCTAGCGACGTAGATGGTCGGAAAGATATCGGCAATTACTGGATGAAGCCAGTTTCGCCACGACGGAGAAGAGTGAGTCAACGCGAAAACTCCGCAGAGGGAATACTTCCAGCGAAAGACGAGCCGCCGTTTCCGTACGGCATCCAAGTTTTTCGATTTCGCACTGATCTCTCGACAAGAATCCGGCACTTATAGGCTATCCATTCCACTTTCAGTCCGCTACGCATCGGGCGTGGGGGTTACGACCGGCGTTGAACTCGATCCGTAGGCGTCGGGCATCAATCCGGAGCCCGCTTAGAATGGAGCCGGTTCCATGTCGAGGATGACCATCTTGTCCCTTTCGAGGATGGGAGACCTATCTCAAGGAGATACGGTCGCCGGTTCTGTAGTCTGAAGGTCGACCTAGGGATCGCCTCGCCGCCCCTTGAGAAGCCCACACCACTAGAAGCGCGATCCGTGTCCGTGATCAACCATCGAATCAAAAACCTCCTCGAATGGTCGGCGAGAAGGCGCCTAAAAAGCTTTCGCATAACTACGGATAGGTGTAAATCACCGCGGGTGAACGATGTATATCGCTGCCTATATGGTTCGGGAGTCGCTTTCTGGCTTTGCAGGAGCTAAACAAACAGTCATACACACAAAGCACATCGAGTAGGTTATTTTTTATGTCGACATATGATTGATGCTCTTCTAACTATTCCCAATGACGCCGCATCTAAACAGTGTCACGTTTCCCGCAGCGCCTATCCCGACCAGACTCGCTAGCCTTGAAAAACAGCCAGGGAAGAGGATCGGGAGACGAGGTGCGCTACTCGTCTGCTGGGCGCGAAAAATTGTGAAAATTTGTGCCCCGGTCGAGCTCTCCGAGTGAGAGAGGCAAGGCCACTGCCAAGCTCGTTGATGTGTCGCCCGACCTCAAATAGACGACCTAGCCGAGTGGAAACTCTGCGTGCCATCATTCGGAAGCTATGCAGGGTCGTATTGGTCAGCGAGTCGGAGAACCAAGATGGGTACAAAGAGAAACATGTTGAAATGTCTCGAGCTTCGAGCATTCCGAAGCAGAATTCCTCAACACAAGGTCCTGCTTCGGGAGACTGGCTTCGAAGGAGGGAGAGCTGACCGAATATCGACTATAGGAAGCTGAGAGTCTATTCGAATCGGCTGTCGCTTCCGAATCGACCCCGGAATCGATCAGGATGAGGATCATATGGCTTATTTGCGATGGGAACCCTTCATCTGTATAGTTCCGACGGGAAGCTTCCCGAGGTACAACCCCGTCCCTAAGAGTTCGGGCGAATTGAATTCGTCAAAAAGCATGAGGAGCTCGATCCCATGGTTGTGGCGGATCAGACGAAGGATGCGCGGCAGTCACCGTCGAGATCGTCGATAGCGTGCTGATGGGGCCAGCAGTCGTCATTTACTGGCAGCGATCGAGATTCTCTAATGAAGATTCGCTGATTCGCTCGTCGAGAACAAGAGAGTGGCTTCGCCGCTTCGGACTAGAGCCCGCCTGACGACAACGACTAGTAGATGATACCAAGGCTCCGCTGCGCCGTCAAAACCAAACGGTAGTCAAGCCTGTTCGAAAGGAGCCTACAGCGGAAGAGTCATCTGCTCGCCAGAAGACTTACTCGGCTCACAATTCAAGGCTATCGAACACTGCACGCTCATAGAGAGCCCGATCATGAACTCTTGGCTCGTCTCGCCGCCTAGCCGCGGAATTTATCCTCTCAAACGGCAAGAGCTTTCTTAGCGCCGCTCATCGGGACGCACCGACGGACTGCTATCGCTCCGAGGGCCCAGAGCGGCACAGCTCCTGCCGGAGCTACGAGCTTGTCAGGATCTCTAGGACATCCGGAGCTCTGGTCGGACATAGGTACTACTACTAATTTCATGCTACGTATCGATCATCGAGGTCTTGTCGATGGTCAGTCGATGTTAGAGTTTTACTCTTTTCCACCTATACTTTTCTACTAATACCAATTTCCCCATCCACCATCAAGATTCCAAGCAGTCTTTTGGGGTTTCTCGGTGCGTTCCTCATTGATTTATACAAGACGGCTCGAGCTCTTCGCCAGCAAGATCATTCGAATTTTCCGGGGCTGATGAGATTCGTGAAAACATTTCCGCACTAATTCGCTCATCGCACTGTTCACCTATGAGGTGAAACATTTGATCTTTTCCCATGAGGTGACTCAAAAGGTCAGGCAGAAAGAACGCGAAAGGATCAATCAAAATCGTTGAAACGATCGCTCACGAGATCCATACGGTCTCATTAGACGAACGCTTCCCAATCCCGATTGGAGACAAACGAATTCACGCGTTTTCCTTTTCAAAGGAATCCGCTGAGATTCTCGGAGCGTAAACAAGGATCCTGCGTCGGATCCGAGCTTGGAATTGGCGGAAACCGCTCTTATGGAGGCAGTGTTGCTCGGCGGATTCTAGACGAGCAACTCATACACTGCTTCTCGACAGAATTCACGAGTACGTGCTTCGGAGGATTTCTCTCTTCGAGACCACTGTGCTTCAATTTATCAATGTCACAGAGCGAGCGATTCGCTAAAGCGCCAGTCCCAAGCTGTTCTCCCGTAGAGGCCAGATGGTCCTTTTACATCGAATTTACTTAGTCGCCGCGCGAATGCGCTACGCGACTCGTGTCCATACAGTGTACGGAGAGCTCCTCCTCGGTGAGCGATGAGATCGAGGGGACTCATGGTTGCCTAAATCTACCGACGAATGGCTGAGGTTATGATGAAGATGATTTGTAAAAAGGAGAGATTGTCCAGAGCAGAAATTCTTACCTGGAAGATAGAAAGGTCATCGGTTAATTCTCGGCTAATGTATCAGAAGAGTCAGTAGTATCGGGAGAGGACAGCTGTGCAAAGGCGGCATTTATTTCGTCTAAAGCTGTCATCGGACCCTTGTTGTCTACCGTGTTATCAAATGCAGTTCCACAGAAGTATCAGACGGATAAGATTTTGGTGTGGTCGAGTCGAGAACGAGAGGTTTGTTAGTGTGCGTTGGTTGTCGTCTGCTGTGAGGGAGACTTCCCGCCGAAATAACGTATAGCTCAGTTCCGGCTATCAATCGTAATGAAGCAGCTCAGAACTCAGAATCCGCGGCCATTTACGGTTTCGATTATGATAGATATACCCGCGAAGCTATCATCATCATAAACTACTCCGAGGTCGATTGCGGGCTTTGTACACATGTACAAAGCCGAGCTGACGTATTTCCCGCGAAGGACAGAAGGTCAGCCATAAGACACTCGGGACCGGTTGTTCCCCGCACGGCAAGAAGGTGGCGTTCTGTCGGATT